CCAAGGGCGGGGGTTAAATTACAACAATGATATCATTGAGGATATTGATGACATCACAGTGACAGGGGTGACATCACTACAGACCAGTGACATCACAGGGGACTGCTGACAACAAAGGGAAAACAGTGATGTCACATGGACATAGGTGACATCAAATGGGACATGGGTGATTTTACAAGCACAAGGATGACATGACAGAGTCACCAGTGACATCACTGGAGACATTGTTAACATCACAGGGGACAGTGGTGACATCAGGGGGACATGAGTGATATCACTGGGGTCAGTGACATCACAGGGGACTGGTGACAAGAAAGGGACAGCCGTGATGTCACAGGGACATCGGTGACATCACAGGGGTCTGGTGACATCACAGGGCCATAGGTCACATCACAGGGACATGATGCCACCGGTGGGCAGAGAGGTGGAATCACAGGGACAGCAGTGACATCACTGGGGACCAGTGAGGTCACAGGGGACAGGTGACAACAAAGGGACAGCCGTGATGTCACAGGGACATCAATGACATCACATGGGGTGTAGGTGACTTCACAAGTACAGGGGTGACATCACAAAGACACCATTTATATCATAGGGGACATTGCTGACATCACAAGAGCCAGTGGTGACATCACAGGGGACTGGAGACATCACAAAGGACTGGTGACATTACAGGGACATTGGAGAAATCACAGGGACAAGGAGCCATGGTTGACATCAGTGGTGGCATAAGAGGGACCGCAGTGACATCAGTGGGGACCAGTGACATCACAGGGGACTAATGAGAACAGAGGCTAAGCCCTGTTGTCACAGGGATATCAGTAACATCACAGGGGACATCAGTGACTTCACAAGGATGGGGTGACATCACAGAGACATCAGTGACATCATCTGGGACATTGCTGACATTACAGGGGACAATGGGGACATCACAGGGACATCGGTGAAATCATTGGGGAACAGTGAAATTACAGGGGAATGGTGAAAACAAATGGACAGCAGCGATGTCACAGGGATATCAATGACATCACAGGGACAGGGATGAAATCAGAGAGACAGCTGTGACATTTGCTGCTCAGGCTTGACTCTTCCTCAGAACCAATTAAGGTGAGTGAGGGGTGGGTCAGGCTCGTTAGCAAGTGCTGGGGGAGGCTATATAAGAACCTCCAGGAGAACTACTCGGCCATTTGCTGCTCAGGCTTGACTCTTCCTCAGAACCAATTAAGGTGAGTGAGGGGTGGGTCAGGCTCGTTAGCAAGTGCTGGGGAGGATATATAAGAACCTCCAGGAGAACTACTCGGCCATTTGCTGCTCAGGCTTGACTCTTCCTCAGAACCAATTAAGGTGAGTGAGGGGTGGGTCAGGCTCGTTAGCAAGTGCTGGGGAGGCTATATAAGAACCTCCAGGAGAACTACTCGGCCATTTGCTGCTCAGGCTTGACTCTTCCTCAGAACCAATTAAGGTGAGTGAGGGGTGGGTCAGGCTCGTTAGCAAGTGCTGGGGAGGCTATATAAGAACCTCCAGGAGAACTACTCGGCCATTTTGCTGCTCAGGCTTGACTCTTCCTCAGAACCAATTAAGGTGAGTGAGGGGTGGGTCAGGCTCGTTAGCAAGTGCTGGGGGAGGCTATATAAGAACCTCCAGGAGAACTACTCGGCCATTTGCTGCTCAAGCTTGACTCTTCCTCAGAACCAATTAAGGTGAGTGAGGGGTGGGTCAGGCTCGTTAGCAAGTGCTGGGGAGGCTATATAAGAACCTCCAGGAGCGTGAGCGAAGTTCGCTCACGCACCCCCACAGGAGTAGACTAACAGGGTGTGGCACAACAATTTCAAGGCATTTCAAGCCTGCAGGGCACAACCAGCTCCCTTTTCTTGTAGGTGAGTGTGCTTTTTAAAGCTAACAATGGTTTCCAGAAAAACAAAAACTGTTACTGCTGTTAATACTAGGAGTGTGTTTGCTCAGACACTCCCCTCGAAGAAGGATGCAGCCACCCAGGTCTCTGGGTGTGCTGAGTGTCTGAAGCCTGACGTTGGTACCGGAGGATGGTGTAGGAGGTAGCTGTGTACGATGCGAGCAGGTGAGTGATTTGCTGTGCCTTGTAGCAGAACTTAAGGAAGAGGTAGAGAGATTAAGGTGCATTAGGGAGAGTGAAAAAGAAATTGACTGGTGGAGTCAAACCCTTTTAAACCCTAAGGAAGTCCAACAGGAGACGGCGAAGCCCTGCCTCTCCTGCCATAAGACAGATGGAGCAGACCAAAATGATGGGGGGAATGGAAACAGGTCCCTAATAGGAGAGGTAGAAGAATTCTTTCTAGACCCCCATCACCCCTCAGGGTGCCCTTGAAGAATAGATACGAGACTCTGGACCCAGACAGTCAGGTAGAGGACAGCCAAGATGATCCCTCTAGAGAGCCTCCTTGTTCGGCCCTGTCCAAAAGACGGATTACAACCACAGGTATAAAAAAAAAAAGAAGGGTAGTTGTAGTCGGTGACTCCCTTTTGAGGGAACTGAGGGCCCTATATGTCGCCCAGACCCATCCCAGAGAGAAGTATGCTGCCTTCCTGGGGCCAGGGTGAGGATATTAGTAGGAGACTTCCTGAGTTAATTCAGCCCTCAGACTATTATCCTCTGGTGGTAGTCCAGGCTGGCAGTGAGGACATTAATCAAAGAAGTGCCAAGATAATTAAAAAAGACTTTAAAGCACTGGGTCAGTCAGTTCAGGGGACAGGAGCACAGGTGATATTTGCCTCAGTTCCTGTACTATCTGGGATGGATGAGGAGTTAAATAAAGAGAGGAGTAAAAAAGCCCAACTCCTCAACAGATGGCTAAAGAATTGGTGCCACCATCAAAATTTTGGTTTCTTTGACCATGGGGCAAACTCCATGGTACCTAGTTTCTTAAAATCAGATGGGATTCATCTTTCTAGGAAGAATAAGAGGACTGTAGCCCATAAGTTAGCGAGGCTGATTAGGAGGGCTTTAAACTAGGTTTGAAGGGGAAGGGGTTGAAACCGGGCTCTCCAGTGATCAGCCTAAGGATGGAAAGCCTGAGTTAAGAATTAAATCAACAGCCCACCTGAAGTGCATGTACACTAATGCACGCAGTATGGGCAACAAACAAGAAGGAGCTGGAGGCAATTGTGCAGCAGGAAGGCTATGATGTAGTCGCCATCACAGAAACATGGTGGGATGACTCGCATGTCTGGAGTGCTGCTATGGAAGGCTATAAGCTCTTCAGGAAGAACAGGCAGGGGAGGAGAGGTGGAGGGGTGGCTTTATATGTTAGAGACTCTCTGGACCCTGTTGAACTTGAGGTCAGCAACAATAAGGTTGAGTGCCTGTGGATCAAAATCAGGGGAAGACCAACAAGACTGACATCATCATGGGTGTCTGTTACAGACCGCCCTACCAGGATGATGAAGGGGATGAATTATTCTACAAGCAGCTGGCGGATGTCTCAAAATTGTCAGCCCTTGTCCTTGTAGGTGACTTTAACCTGCCGGATATCTGCTGGGAGCTCAATACTGCAGAGAAGAGGCAGTCTAGGAATTTCCTGGAGTGTATAGAGGACAATTTCCTTCATCAACTGGTAAATGAACCTACCAGGGGTAAGGCCCCGCTAGACCTGCTGTTTACAAACAGAGAGGAGCTGGTGGGAGATATAGTGGTTGAAGGCCGCCTAGGAAATAGTGATCATGAAATAATAGAATTTTCAATACTCAGAGATTCAAGGAGAAACAACAATAAAACCTCTACGCTGGACTTCCGGAGAGCAGATTTTGACCTATTCAGAAGTCTAGTCCAGAGCATACCCTGGGAAACAACCCTTGAAAACAAGGGAGTCCAGGAGGGATGGATGTGCTTCAAACAGGAAGTTTTGAGTGCACAGGAACAGGCCATACCGGTGTGCCGAAAGGCAAGCCGGCGGGGAGAGACAACCAGCCTGGTTAAACAGGGAGATTCTGAAGGAAATCAGGGATAAAAAGAGAGTTTATCGACTATGGAAGAGAGGGCTGGCTACTTACGAAGAATTCAGGAAGACAGCTAGATCATGCAGAAAGAAAATCAGGGATACAAAAGCGCAATTTGAAGTTAAATTGGCCACTTCTGTTAGGGATAACAAAAAGTCCTTCTATAAATACATTAATAACAAAAGGAGGGGCAAAGAAAACCTCCATTCTTTGATGGACTCGGAGGAAACATAGTTAATAGAGATGAGGAGAAGGCTGAGGTACTTAACACCTACTTTGCCTCAGTTTTTACCAGTAAGACAGGTGGCCCTCAAGGCAACTGGCCTCTGGAGCTGGTAGACAGAGAGAGAAACCAAATAGCCCCCTGTATTCCAGGAGGAAATAGTTAGTGACTTACTGAGCCACCTGGATCCTCACAAGTCTATGGGACCAGATGGGATCCATCCTAGGGTAATGAGGGAGCTGGCAGAAGAGCTTGCCAAGCCGCTCTCCATTATCTTCCAACAGTCCTGGCTCACTGGGGAGGTCCCACATGATTGGAAGTTGGCAAATATCACCCCAATCCATAAAAAAGGCTGCAAGGCTGACCCTGGTAACTACAGGCCTGTCAGCCTGACCTCGGTGCCTGGCAGAGTTATGGAACAGATCATCCTGTGTGCAATCACACAGCACCTACAAGATGGACAAGGAATCAGACCCAGCCAGCACGGGTTTAGGAGAGGCAGATCCTGCTTGACCAACCTGATCTCCTTTTACGATCAGGTGACTCACCTGGTGGACAAGGGAAGGCTGTGGATGTGGTCTATCTGGACTTCAGCAAAGCCTTTGACACTGTCTCCCATAATATACTCCTGGAAAAGCTGGCAGCCCATGGCTTGGACAGGGGCACTCTGTGCTGGGTTAGGAACTGGTTGGAGGGCCGGGCCCAAAGAGTGCTGGTGAACGGGGCTGCATCCAGCTGGCAGCCGGTCACCAGTGGTGTCCCCAGGGATCAGTGCTGGGCCCAGTCCTGTTTAACATCTTTATCGATGACCTAGATGAGGGATTGAGTCCATCATCAGCAAATTTGCTGATGACACCAAGTTGGGAGGGAGTGTCAACCTACCAGAAGGCAGGAGGGCTCTGCAGAGGGACCTGGATAGACTGGAGAGATGGGCTGACTCCAATGGGATGAAGTTCAACAAGGCCAAGTGCCGGGTCCTGCACTTTGGCCACAACAACCCCTGCAGCGCTACAGGCTGGGGACAGAGTGGCTGGAGAGCAGCCAGGTGGAAAGGGACCTGGGGGTGCTGATTGACAGGAGGCTAAACATGAGCCAGCAGTGTGCCCAGGTGGCCAAGAAGGCCAATGGCATCCTGGCCTGCATCAAGAACAGTGTGGCCAGCAGGAGCAGGGAAGTGATCCTTCCCCTGTACTCTGCGTTGGTGAGGCCGCACCTTGAGTATTGTGTTCAGCTCTGGGCCCCTCAGTTCAGGAAGGATATTGAGGTGCTGGAGCGGGTCCAGAGAAGAGCAACCAGGCTGGTGAAGGGACTTGAGCACAAGTCCTATGAGGAGAGGCTGAGGGAGCTGGGATTGTTTAGTCTAGAGAAGAGAAGGCTTAGAGGTGACCTCATCACTCTCTTCAACTACCTGAAGGGAAGTTATAGCCAGGTGGGGGTTGGTCTCTTCTCCCAGGCAACCAACAACAGGACAAGGGGACATGGGCTCAAGCTCTGCCAGGGGAAGTTTAGGTTAGATGTTAGGAAGAAATTCTTTACAGAGAGGGTGATCAGGTATTGGAATGGCCTGCCCAGAGAGGTGGTGGATTCACCATCCCTGGAAGTTTTTAAAAAGAGATTGGACATGGCCCTTAGTGCCATCATATAGTAATTAGAGTTGGATCAGGGGTTGGACTTGATGATCTTGGAGGTCTTTTCCAACCCAATCTATTCTATGATTCTATTCTATGATTCTATGATCATTGAAGACCAATGACATCATGGGGGACGGGTGAAAACAATGGGACAACCATGTTGTCACAGGGACATCGGTGAAGTGAAAAGTGTCTCGTGACATCACAGGAAAGGGCTGACATTATAGAGACACCATTGACATCATCGGGGACATTGCTGACATCAAAGGGGCAGTGGTGGTGTCACAGAGACAGCAGTGACATCACTGGGGATATAGTTGACATCACAGGGGACAGTGATGACACCACAGAGACACCAGTGACATCAACGGGGACATCTGTGACATCGCAGCCAACATAGGTGACTTCACAAGGCAAGGGGTGACATCACAGAGACAGCAGGGACATCATTGGGGACCAGTGACATCAGACTGGAAGCAGAGGGACAGCAGTGATGTCACAGGGACATCGGTGACATCAAAGGGGTCTGGTGACATTACAGGGACATAGGTCACATCACAGAGATATGGTGCCACTCTTGGGGACAGTGGTGAAATCACAACCAAAGCAATGACATTATTGGGGAGCAGTGACATCAGAGGAGAATGTTGACAGGAAAGGGAGAGCTGTGATGTCACTGGGACATCGGTAAATTCACAAAGAGAGGGTTGACATCATACAGACACCAGTGACATCATCGGGGACAGTGGTGACATCACAGGGACATCAGAGAAATCATTGGGGACCAGTGACATCACAGGGGACCAGTGACAAAAAAGGAAAACCCTGATGTCATATGGGAATCAGAGACATCATGGGGACATGGAACCACTGCTGGGGACAGTGGTGACATCACAGAGACAGCAGTGACATCACTGGAAACCAGTGACATAACAGGGGACTGGTGACAACAATGGGAAAGCTGTGATGTCACAGTGACATCAATGACATCACAGGGGACATCAGTGACTGCACATGGCTGAGGTGACATCACAGAGATGCCAGTGACATCCTCAGTGATACTGGTGACATCACGGGGACATCGGTGACAACACTAGGGATACTGGTGACTTCACAAGGACAAGGGTGACATTACAGAGACAGCAGTGACATCATTGGATATTGGTGACACCACAGGGGACAGTGGTGACATCACACAGACATAGGTGATATCACTGGGGACCAGTGACATCCCAGGGGACTGGTGACAAGAAATGGAATACTGCGATGTCACAGGGACATTGCTGACATCAAAGGTATCTGGTGACATCACAGGGACATTGGTGACATTACAGGGACATGGTGCCACTTTTGGGGGTAGTGGTGACACAGGGGACTGTTGACAAAAAAGAGACAGTCGTGATGTCACAGGGACATTGGTGACATCACAGGGGACTTCAGTGACTTCACAAGGAGAGGGGTGACAACACAGTGACACCAGTGACAATGTCAGGGACATTGGTGACATTAGACGGGATAGGGGTGACATCACAGGAAAGTCAGTGACATCACTGGGGATCAGTGACATCCCAGAGGAGTGTTGAGAACAAAGGGACAGTCATGATGGCACAAAGGCATCTGTGACATCACAGGGGTCTGGTAACATCACAGGGACATCGGTGACACCACAGGGAGATGGTGGCACTGCTGGGGACAGTGGTGGCATCACAGAGAAAGAAGTGACATCACTGGGGACCAGTGATGTCAGAGGGCACTGTTGACCACAAAAGTGACAGCTGTGATTTCACAGGGACATCTGTGACATGACAGGGGATAGTGGTGACATTCAAAGGACATTGGTGACATCACAGAGACACCAGTGACATTATTGGTGACACAGGTGGCATCACAGGGGACAGTGATGACATCACAGGGACATCGGTGACATCACTGGGGACCAGTGACATCACATGGGACTGTTGACAATAAAGGGATAGCTGTGATGTCACAGGGATATCAGTGACTTAGAAGGACAGGGTTGACATTATAGAGACACCAGTGACATCATCGGGGACATTGCTGATGTCTCTGGGGACAGTGGTGACATCACAGGGACAGAGGTTACATCATTGGGGAACAGGGACATCACAGGGGACTGATAGCAACAAAGGGACAGCAGTGATGTCACAGGCACATCGGTGACATCACGGGGACCTGGTGTCACCACTGGGGACAGCGGTGAAATCACAGAGACAGCAATGACATCATTGGGGACATTGTTGACATAACAGGGGACAGTGATGACACCACAGAGACACCACTGACATCAATGGGGACATCTGTGACATGATAGGGGACATTGGTGACATCACAAGGCCAGGTGTGATATCACAGCGATACCAGTTACATTATTGGTGACACTGGTGGCATCACAGGGGATAGTGGTGACATCACAGGGGACCTGATGTCAACATCGCTGACATCACTGGGGACCAGTGACGTCACAGGGGACTGTTGAAAACAAATGGAAAACCTTGATGTCACAGGGCTATTGGTGACATCACAGAGGGTCCTTGGTGACATCACAGAGATACCAGTGACATCATCATGGACATTGGTGACATCACAGGAGACAGTTGTGAAATCACTGAGACATCAGGGACATTATTGGGGACCAGTGACATCAGAGTGACAACAGAGGGACAGCATGATGTCCACAGGGACATTGGTGACATCACAGGGGACAGTGATAACATTACAGGGACAGCAGTGACATCAGTGACATCAGTGACACTGTGAACCAGTGACATCACAGGGGACAGGTGAAAACAAAGGGGCAGCCATGATCTCCCAAGGACATCAGTGACATCACTGGGGACATCGGTGACTTCACAAGGACAGGGGTGACATCGCAGAGACAGCAGGGACATCATCGGTAACACTGGTGCCATAACAGATACATTGGTGACATCATTTGGGACCAGTGACATCACATGGGACTGTTGACAACAAAGGGACAGCCGTGATGTCACAGGGTTATCAGTGACATCACCGGAGATGGGGGAGACAACACAGGCGCCAGGGTTGACATCACAGGAGCATCGGTGACATCCCTGGGGATATTGGTGACTTCACAATGACAAAGGTGACATTACAGAGACAACAGTGACATCACAGGGGCAGCAGTTTTATCACAGGGACTTTGGTGACATCATTGGAGATCAGAGACATCACAGGGGTCTGATGGCATCACTGGGGACAGCAGTGACATCACAGGGACAGGGGTTCCACCCCTGGGGATAGCGGTGCCGTCAAAGGGACAGCAGTGACATCTCAGGGGTCTGGTGACATCAAAGGGACATGGTTCCACCGCTGGGGTCAGTGGTGACATCACAGGACTTCAGTTCACTGGGGAACAGTGACATCGCTGGGGAGAGTGGTGACATCACAGGGGACAGTGTAAAATCACTGGGGACACAGGGACCATCCCTGGGGACAGCAGTTGACAGTACTATAGACCAGTGACATCACAGGTTTCTGGTGACATCACAGGGACATTGCTGACATCACAGGGACAGCAGTGACATCACAGGCACAGTGGTGACATCATTGGGGACATCAGTGACATCACTGGGACAGTGGTCCATGACTGCTGCAGCCACTGCTGTCAGACAGGTGGGCCATCCCTTGCTGACTCCATCCCACTGTTTGCAGTCGAGCTCGGCCCTCCTGGATGGCCCTGCTTGGTGGCCCAAGACCCCCAAAGCCATTCCTTGACGTTCATGGCACAACAACCAAAGGGGCTTCGTCCCGTCAGGCAAAGCCAAAGCCAGAGCCCTCCTGAGCTCCCGCTTCAGGCCTTTGAAGGCCTCGTCTGTCTCAGGGCTCCACATGATGTTCTTTTGGGTTCTTTTCAGCAGGTCATAGAAAGGCTTTACAAGTACTCCCTACTGATAGAGCCATAAACGACACCAACCTGTCATTCCTAGAAAGGCTTGGAGATCTCCCCTGTTTCTGGGCTGGGTGTCCGGCAGATGCTTCCTTTCTTGCTGTTCCCAGGGAACATTGTCCATCAGAGACTTCATACCCCAGGTGCACCACTTTCTCTTGCACCAGCCGTGCTTTCTGTCGGGAAACTCAGTAACCATTCAAACCCAAGGAGAAGTTCCTGAGCTCGGGGTAGACAGAAAAAGGCATCTTTTAAATCTAACACTGTGAACCAAATCAAATTCTCTCTCAATTTTGTTAAAAGTGTTTAGGGATTTGCTACCATGCGGTATAAGGTTTAGTTATCTCCTTTACTCCCCCGAAATCCTGAACTAGTCTGCAAGTTCCACTTGGTTTCTTAACTGGGAGAATTGGGGTGTTAAAGTCTGATTCACACTCTATTAGAAGTCCCAACTTCAAAAAGTTTTCACTTATTGGTTCAATTCCTTTTCTGCCTTCTAACCTCAATAGATATTGTTTCCTAACTACTGGCTTTGCTCCTGCTAATAATTCTACATGAAGAGGAGTGGCCTTTTTTGATTTACCGGGTTCATCTGTGGCCCATACCAAGGAATATACTGGATCTAAAATTTGACTGATATTTTGATTGTTTTACTCTGGCTTTACGCAGTTCAGGACCAAACTGAGGGCTGCTAGTAGTTGTTACCTGAAATTCAAGTTTACCTTTTTCACACTTAATCACAGTTCCTAGGTTTTCCATCAAATCTCTCCCCAACAGGGGCTTTGAGGAATTAGGCAGATCTAAAAATTGATGAATTCCCTTTTTTTCCCCAACTTTGTACTGGAGGGTTTCAGAAAGAAAGCTTTTTCTGATTGGTCTGTTACTCCCACGACTTGAACAAATTTATCACTTTTAGGCACTAGTTCTTGGTTTAGAACTGAAAAAGTGGCTCCAGTGTTGATTCAAAAGTCTAATTCTTTTTCACTTCCCCTTGCTCCATTTTAACCAGTGGGTCTGCCAGGGAATGACTCACTGGTCCCCCTCAATCACTGGTCTGATGAGTGATGACAGCTCCTCCTGGGTTCCTATTTACCAATGTGGGGCAATAGTCGCGGTCGAGGCGGGAAGGCGACATGGGTTTCAGGATACCAGCAGCTTTTTTTATTGCAACAGTGCATCTACCTTTATACAGTTCTGGGGTGACACATGTACACACAGCATTGGTTTAGCACTTCATAACAACTCATGATTGGACATACAGCCACATGTCCTAACACAATAGGCTAACATTCCTCACAGGAAACCCACTGTGTCACAGTCCCCACTGTCCGTGGTTAACCCTCTGCCAGGTGTAAGAAGTTCCATCTTCAGGATTTCAGTATACTGAGAGCCCAGAACCAGCTGGGCTCCCCAACAATTCCCCCTCTTTTGTATTATAGAAAATGCCAGCATCAGCTAATACAGGGCCCTTGCACTAGTGACATGGCAATATCAATAATACAATACAATTACACACATAGGCAAAGAATCAACCAGTCCTTCTTTCATCAGTCCACAAGAATGGTACTCCTTCTTCTCAGTGCTGAATGTCCATAAATGAGTTGTCCATGTAGCTTGTGCATGTGCCACAGGTAGGTAGAAAGCAGACTGTTGGAGGATAAGAATATTGCTCCTCAAAAGCTAGCTGAACAGACAAGTATCCTCCCCTCCCCCTTTTTTTTTTTTTTACCATTTTTCTGTGTTTTTTTTTTTTTGTTGTTGTTGTTGTTTTCTTTTTTTTTTTTATTATAATTGGTAGTTTTTGACTTCTTAAAGTCTTTCAGTGCTTCAAAAAGCAGGTGTCAGGAAGTTAATAACTCCATTACTTTCCTGAAAGCAACTTTAGAAGTCCTGGTACCCGTGATCTCTGCTCCAAATTAGTATTTTTGCAGGAGCAGGGCACCTAGCTTGATTCCATGTTTCTCTTTAGCAGTTAACTGCCACTCGGGACGACAGAGTCATCCTCTTTAGATAACATGGAACCTATTATACTCCGGTGGTTCACCTGTTCTAGACAGGTGTCTCCAAAAGATCTGGGCCGGCCCCCTGCGACTTTTTTGTCGCTTTTAAAACTACACCGGAGTTCCCGCCTCCAACAGCTCTCTCGGAACTGTCTCTCTCCGTCCTTGTTCAGGACGTGAAAACCTTTTAGATTGCTTCAGGAGGTACTAATGTAAGTTACAAGCAGAGTAATAATAAAGCGAAGACGAACAGTAGCTGGAATGTTGCTTTAGCAGCCGACTGCTGATAAAAGGCAGTTGCCGGGATACCGAGATTTCGCAGGAGTCCGAGCCAAGCGGGGGAGTGCGGCAAACAGGAATTTGTCTGCCCCACAGCTGCGAGAGTAACGAAGGCAGGGTCGCTCGGAACAAAGAGCACTGCTGAGTCAGGGCACGTTCGGGGTGCGGTCTCAGCTGCTCCACGCACAGTCAGGGACGTCCGGGGATAGCGGAGGGACGCGAACCGGGCACGGAGCGGGCTGAGGCCCTGCACGGAGCTGGGATGTCAGGAGCGAGGGCTACACAGGTTGCGCACACAGCCAGGCAGTGTCCGTAGGGCTGCAGCTGGAACGCGGAGCGAGAAAACGAATGCTCCAGGGGGGAGAGCGGGGCAGCCCTGCGGGAAGGCTGGGAGCGGAGCGAGATTACGAATGCTCCGAGGTAGAATGGGGCAGCGCGGCAGGAGGGTTGATAGGGGAGTGCTCAGTAACTTACGTAGCCGTGAAAAAGTCTCAGCAGCAGCAAGAAAGTTCTCAGTAGTAGCGTTAGGCAGCTCAGCGGCGTGCGATCTCTCGGGCTGGGAAGCAATGAAACGAAATGGGGGGTTCAGCGGCCGCCTGATCCTCCCGATAGCAGCTTCCCGAGGTCCCACCGAGCGATTCTTCGTTCGCTTCTTGTCAAGTTCTCTTCTATCTTCCTTTGCAATCACGTCATGGGTTCACCATATGTCGCCATCGAGGTGGGGGCAACATGGGTTTCAGGATACCAGCAGCTTTTTTATTGCAACAGTACAGCTACCTTTATACAGTTCTGGGGTGACACATGTACACACAGCATTGGTTTACCACTATCATAACAACTCGTGATTGGACATACAGCCACATGTCCTAACACAATAGGCTAACATTCCTCACAGGAAACCCACTGTGTCACAGTCCTACTGTCCGTGGTTAATGTGAAAAATTGAGGAACTGATTTTATTCCAGGCAAATTAAAATGAACAGGGGGTACTAACAAAAGAACTATTTCTGTGTATTTACTAACTTATAGGCGTACCGTGGAGACTGTAAGGTGAAGGGTCCTATCTGGACCTCTTACCAGGGATCTTTCGTGGCCGGGAACAGGGAACAAATTATGAATAAAAATGTATTCCTCTGTGCCATGTGGATACACAGAGAGACCCTCCATGCCTTGCAATGTGAGGATGATGCAAGACCCCCCTGTACGAGCCCAGGGGAAGTATGTTGCAACCAGCCAAAAGATAACACCCACTTCCAAAGCAGAGAAATTACCTTTTAAGGCAACAAGCGGACAGTAAAATGAATATTCAACAACTGATATCAAAGGGTACAAAAAGCGCGGTTTTCAAACAGCGGTGTGCTCTTTGTTTGATTCAAAGGTGCACCCAGTGTTGGAAATGGGTACCCAGCACTGCAATAAAAATCTCTTGCTATATTTCTTTGTCCTGCAGGTATTTTTGCCGTCTTCAAAATTCCAGAGAAAAAGTAACTTATAACAGTTAACCCTCTGCCAGGTGTAAGAAGTTCCATCTTCAGTATCTCAGTTTACTGAGAGCCCAGAACCAGCTGGGCTCCCCAGTACTACATTACACTACATAGTGCCAGTACGTAGTATAAGGTGATGCTTGAGTGGCAGCCAAACAGCGCCCGTTCATCACCTCATGGCAACAGTCTGGGCGTGCCCCACTGTAGGGTAAGGGGCCAACGACCCCTGCCCACATCATCTTCCTCTCCATCACCTTCCTCATCATTATAGATGACCAGTACCATTGTGTTTCAAGGGGATTTTTTTCTATCTTGCAGAATGTAACCAAGCCAAGGAGGAACTCAGCTGTGATAATGAAGGACATCCAGTTGACTTTGCTACAAGTACAGTGGGCCTTACAGTCAAGTTGTGCAACAAAGCTACATTGTACCATACTCTGGCTGGTTTCACATGCGAACACAATCACTTTCTCACCCCTCTATGCTCCATTGATCATCTAAACCAAAAGTATCCCCCTTACGCCATGGCAACCATTGTGCATTTACATTGTGAAGTCACTTACCATGACGACCATTTACATTCTCATTGTGACGTCACTTACCATGGCAACCATTGTGCATTCTCATTGTGACGTTGGTTACCATGGCAACCATTATGCATTCTCATTGATATGTGGGTTACCATGGCAACCATTGTGCATTTACATTGCTAGAGTCAGTTAATAAGGCAACCATTATGCATTCTTATTGATATGTCGCTTACCATGGCAACCATCATACTTTCCCATTGCTACAGTCAGTTACCATGGCAAACATTTTTCATTCCATTTGCTATGGACGGTTATCATGGCAACCATCACACATTCCCATCACTAGGATCTGTTACCATGGTATCCATTATGCATTCCCTGTTACGTCACTTACCATGGAAACCATCTGTAACACATTGGTAATATAGAAATGCCAAAAATTGTTTCTGCCTTTCAAAAACTTCCTATCAAACATTCTCTGTCAGCTCTCTGCCAGAAGTTCCCACCAGGACTTCCCACGGCACTTTTCCTGCCAAAAGATCCTGCCACTGTTTTTTGGTTATCATATCTCCTCCAACATCTGAACTAGCTACATGCCAAGAAACCACGTACAACCTCCTGTGAACACTATAAAAGTTGAGGACAAATTTTGGAAAATCAGGGAGAGGAAAGGGAGAAGAACTGGTGACTGTAGCTGAGAATCTCTCCCCACCTCTCCTCACTTTTTCTTTGCCACCGCGTGCTGCCTGCCTGCCACCGAAGACTGGAACTGTGCCGGCCTGGAGAGAGCTGAGACCCCTGTGCCACATGTGGGAGTTATATCTTATCCTTCCACCCTGACCATATTTCTGAGGGCCAGGGAGCTGTGGCTGAACTGGGACCCTGCATGGCCTGGGACAGGGCTCAGTGTGAGCAGGGAAACCACACATCCTGCATTCCAGAGAACTAAAGCTGTGAAAACCCCCTGCAGCTAAAGAGATAACATCAAAAAGCAGCAGAGACAGAGAAAAAAACAGGCAAAAAACTGCTTCTCCCCCCAACTCACACCAGCACAGCAGAAAGGTAGTATGGTGGTGTCTTTTCTCTGCTTCTAAAAAATAATCTTAGCATTTTCCAACCTTTCCTTATTTTTTCCTCTTTCTCTTTGCATCTCTTAGCAATTAATAAAAATCAGTTTTTGGTATCAACAGATAACTTGTGTGAGTTTTAATTTTGCTCAAGGCAGTGTTCGAATCTGAAGTTCTTTCTGCAATATTTAAGCAGATTGTAACACACTCGGATGGCATTGAGGCACAGGAGGGCAGAACCCACCGGGATCTCTGGAGGGACAGGGCGATGCCAGCAGTTGTCTGTATTAGAGCCTGAGGGGAGTTTAACAGGGCACAAGTAGGAAAAGTCCCCAGTTGGGACTGGCCCAGACTGGCCTTGTTTTCTGGACACCTGCTCGAGGTGCCCCAGGGCCACTGTCACACACCAGGCCCTCGGAACCCTCGAAACCATTCCCAGCACTGGCCTGTCAGCACCTCTGAGAGGGGGTTTGTTCCTTCATGGGGGACATCAAGTGACGGGGCCAGAAGTCCAAGAGATCCCAAGCCTTTGTCCCCTGGGGCACAGCCCCGTCTGTGCCCCAAGGGCTGTGAGGAGACACCTCGTGCTGAGGCCCTGGGGCCTCGTGGCCTCCTGGCACAGCCCCAGGAAGGCTGGGCACTGGCAGCCCCTTGTCCTTCCCTCAGAGTCACCCCCATCCCAGTGCCCCGGCAGAGCCCTGAGCAAGGCGGGAGGGACAGGATCTGCCTTCCCCGGGCTGGGGGTCAGGGCTGGGCCTTTCTGCTGCCTCCAACCCAGCCAGGCTGTGCCCAGCACCTGAGTTGCTGCCCAGAGCCTTTGCCTCCCTGCACTCAGGGCCTCCAAGGAGCTGCTGCAGAGTCCCTGGGGAGGCTTTGTCAGGAGGAGCCCTCGGGGGGCTCCTTAAGGCTTCGAGGGACTGCAGGATTTTCAGAGCAATTTGGGGTTTTGCTGCTGATTTTGCACCTCTGAGAGGTTTGTGCAACCATGGCCTCCAATTATCTGCTGTAACGAGTCCCTTGAGAGCCTCAGACAGTGACAACCCTCAGAGGGTTCATTAATGCTTTGGGGCACTCAGGGTTTATTAAGGTACTTTTTTTGACTCTGAGTCTCTGAGAGGTTTGTGCAATCCTCTGCAATTACCTGCTCTAATTAGTCCCTGGAGAGGCTCTGTCAGTTGTGACACTCTCTGGAGCTCATCAATTCTTGGAAGTAGTACAGTTTTTAAGGGCACTTTGGGGTTTGCTTTTGACACAAAGTCTGTGACAGGTTTGTGCAGTCGTGGCCTGCAGGGATCTCCTCCAAGGAGTCCATGAGGAGCCTGGATTGGGAACGGCCCTCAGTGGGACCCGTTAATGCTTGGAGATACTTTGAGTTTCTCTTCTGACTTGGACTCCTGGAAAGGTTTGTGCAATCTCCTCCCAGAGCAGAACCTCACCTGAGGTTCAAGGACTCAGCGCCAAGTGCACCGTGGGGACCGTGGGGCTCCTTCAGATAAATCAAGTGCTAAGAAACCACGGCTCTTCCTTGATTTTCCTCTAGTCCAGTGCAGTTAATTAGGAAGTTTTCTTAACATGGAGAAATATTTCACAGAGGTTCTAATAAATATGCATTCTTATTTTAAAGGGTGTAGTTTGTTACTTTTCTCCTTTGAGAAGAGTTGATTGCATCATTCTCTGATTGATATTTATCCAGGGTCTCTCCTAAGGAGGTTTGGACTGGTTGGAGTTTCCCCTTGAGGTCTGACACAGCATGGACAGCCTTGCTCTACGTTCCCCAACCCCATCGTGTCTCTCCTCAGTCTCCTGGTCCTGCTTTGCTCACAGAACTGGCTGCACACAGCAAAGAGGGGTTTTTGTTCTTTTTTTGCAACAATCTGAAACTCATAAGGTTGACCTTTGATAACAGACACTCCTCAGCTGTGAGCCAAGTCCCCGCTGCCACCAATGAGGGTCAGCTCCCCCAAGGCAAAACCGTGCGAGAAATGTTTTAGACACCCGGGAAATTAAATAATAAACACAAATAAAGAGTTGGAACTGGGGGGTACTTAGGGATCCAGATGGGCTCTTATGAGGCAGTTTGTGGTCGAGGGGTTATTTGGGGGACACTTGGTCGTCCAGGGGGGCACTTGAAGGTCGGGGAGGGAATTTGGGGGCACTTGGGGGGAATTGGGGGCGTTTGTGGGGGCTCTGAGGGGCGCGGGGCACAACGGGAGTTGTAGTCCCGAAAGTGGCTCTAATGGGGCACTTCGGGGTCTAAGAGGCCACCTGTGGGTCCGAGGGGCACTCTGGGGTTCTCGTGGCGCTCTTCACGGGAACTCAGGGGCCGGGGAGCATTTGGGGGAACTTGGGGCTCTGCAAACCCGGCTATAACGGGGTCCGTGGGGCGCGGGGCTGACGGGAGTTGAAGGCGCATCCAGAATAGGCTCTCTATGGCGCGCAGCATGACGGGAGCTGTAGTCCCCGAATTTGCATTTTTGGGCTCCGTGGGGCAGGAGCTCGCTGGGTGCCCAGTAAAACGTCAGGGGGCCCTGACGCCAAGGGCCCCGTCGGGGTCTGGGGGGGCTCTCAGGGACCCCGAGCGGCTTTTGGGAGCCGCAGTCCCGCCTGGATCGGGGCTGGGCGGCCGCGGAGCATCCTGGGAAGTGCAGGCG